AAAAAAAAAAAGGATAAAAAATGGAGACAAATAAGTGATAACAGAACCAAATGCATTGAACTGAACCTGCTCTTGCTCAGAGATAAATCATACAAATGGCTCTTTTCCTATCTGTGGCATTCCGAATGATCGGAAGAAAATGCAAATGTTCAGTAATGCACAAAAACCGAATGTGTCACTACCGATCCAACTGGACGAACATTTATTTGCGGAAAAAATAAAATTCTGGCAAAAGGGACTATCGTATTTACACTTCAGGCTGCATCTTCTCAACTTCTTCCCGTATGGACTGGAAAAGAACTGTCGACAAGTATCTCTCCCCAAAGCTGGGAAATACAACCTGCAACAAAAGCATTTACAGCTCAAATGTTATTAAAAACACATGGGAACATAATGCATGTACCTATCACTATTCCACAGATATTTTGCCACATAATCATAGAATCGAATAGGTACTTGCAATAGGACCATCTTGCAAATACATCAACATCAACATACCCAGTATATTCCCAACAGGTTGGGGTCTGAGGGGTCTGAGGGGTCAGTTGTACGCAGACCTTACCCTTGTAATTATACAAGGAGGCTGTTTCCATAGCGACCCAAGGTGCGTTGCGTCGTTTGATATATTTTTTTCTAGAAACTTCACTAATAGAAGAAGCACTAGAATTTAATTGAGCCATTTTGATCTAGTCCATCTTGCAAATATGACTGAAAAATGGTGTCGATGACTCACTCGTTTCTAGGTTGAACCTATTTCAGGAGAACTAAATATATGTTACCAGTTGCACCATGTATTCTCATTCGGTCAAGTTAAATGTACGCAGCACAAAGTTTCTTGAAAGCGATATCAGGGTGTAACTTTTTTTTTGGGGGGTAAAGGAACATGTAAATGCACTTTGTTTGTGATTGGGGGTGTATTTCAGTTACCAACAAGGGCTGTCTATACTAGTAAGCCAGGTGTGCGCATTGGGCCTATGGGGTAAAATCGAGCTGCCCCATGGTGTGCAAGACGGCAAGGCCGGATATTTTCCAGGCCTCAATTTTAATGGCCCATATGGCAAATAGTGGAAAACATATAGGGCTTGCCGAGCCCATCCAGCAAAAGGAGCCCGACTTTCTTCAAGACTAGGAAATACAACTCAAAAGCC